CCTGTACCCTTTTATATAAAATCCCTGCAAACAAAATCTACATTTCTGCAATGAGCTATACTTACTCTTCAAGAATGATTACATCAGGGAACCACAACATTGATGTCATAATGGACAGCTTTTCTATCCCACAAAACTCTGAAGGGTTCCAAGTCAGGAATTCATTTGTCCAACTCTGGAAAGAATGAAAAGCTGAGTTTTAAAAAGTGCCAGAAAAAATATGAATAATAGAAATAATGAATAAATCACGAGCCTACAGAGCTCGTGTTTATGTAACTGCTGATTGGTCCATTTGTCAGCATTGTTCAAAGTGATCATCTTGGTTTTTGAATGTGCCACACAGATTCTTACCATGTGGACCCTGATTTCATTTGTGAAAGTTTGAGACTTCTCATTCTGGAAACAGTAAACAGCAAAGAGATAAGTTATCGAGGGAATTTCCAAGGAACTGTGTTGTTATCTTAAAAGGATCAGTATTTATTAATCCACATAGTCAGGGGTGTATTTCTTTATCCTCTAAGGTTCTGATGCTCTAAAACAATAATGCATCCAAAAAATGTTGTGCTGTGTAAAAGGTGAACCAAAATTATTTGCAAATCATCACAAGTGTGGTTGAAGATCAGACACATCCTAAGGTATAATGTTTGAAATGCTTTTCTGCTTTTGTTCAGTCCATGCAAGAAGGATGATAAGGATGCTTACCGATTCTAAAATGCCCAACAAAAACAAGTCCACCTGAACAAAGGTGCTTCTGGTCCAGTTTTTCACTGGCCGCATGGTTTCCAGAGCAACATTTGATGAGGTCAGGTTCAAGTAGTCCAGTAGATTATAGTATGAGCACTCTGAAGTCAGACTGCAGGAAAACCCTGCTGGGAAGATGAAACATGTAGACAAGAAAAACACGTGACCTGAAACTTCAGATCCTCCACAACTACAGAGAGAACGTCTCTTTAACAAATCAAAGTCTAATGTAAAAACTCACCAATTACAGAGATAAAAGCCAGAGTCTGTAGAGCAGCCATGGCCTTTTGCTCTCACCTCAGTCTGGGTAAACCCTTTTAAACTGTAGAGTCTTACACAAAACAAAGCAATACAAAATTGTGCATGAGACCTTTGCATTGTCTATTATAGACAAACTCCTATTTGTCCCTCTGTGTGATTGAACATGATACCAATCACCTGTACATTACTATTGTTGAGCTACAAATGAAGCACAAAGTCAACATAAGAAGATCTCATTATCACATCAAGTCTAAATGGAAAGGTTTCCCACTTCCACTTGACGTAACAGTGAATGATCCCACAAAGTATTTGGCCTCTAGTCAAATAGAAGCTTCACATGTGGCTATAAATCACTGTAATTAAAAATGCTGAAATGCGCACCAGAGGATTTTCAACAGTCGGGAAATTCAGGAGCCAATTCTGACCCTCCCATTTGAAAAGTCACAGCGGAAACTAAGACTCTTCGGGCCAGGCAGCATATTTCCAATCTTCTGTTGTTCAGTTTTAAACAGCTGAGTGGTTATTTGAGTTGCTGTTTCCTTGCTATCAGCTTGAAGCAGTCCATCCATTCCCCCCTCACTTGTGACATCAATAAGATACCTTTTCCCAGAGAACTGATGCTCACTGGACATTTTCTCTTGTTTGGAACATTCTCCTCCTGACTATATCCACATGGCTAAATGCACTGAGTGGCTGCCATGTGATAGGTTAAGTTAATGATTGTATTCACGAGCTGTTAAAGTTGTGTAGCAACTAACCAGTGAGCATGCAATAAATACATGTGCACAGAATAACTTTTCAAATCCCATTTTCAAAAAACTGAAGTTCTGTGTCAAAAGTATGAAAAAACTAATAAATAAAAATGTATAAAAAATCTTTTATATAATTTTTTACAGTTAGCTATATATATATATATTCTAAGTGATGTAGATCAGTTCAGCTATATTAGAGCAATTCATCAACAATATCTTAATGCAGTTTAATAATTGTGTTTTATTTTTGTTTAAATGGGAACTGATGCAGTTACAAAACTTGGGATTAGCTCCATCAGTTCAGCACTTACTGTGATGACACCAGCTACTATGGTCTGAAAGCAAAACCGTTTCCAATTTTTTTCGAAACAGGATAAAACAGTTATGTGTTTGTTTTTATCCCATCCAAAGTTTCGCTGCTTCAGTCTATGTAAGTGCTAATGAGTAGGAACCCTGAGACAGAAAGTGTAATTTGCCCTGATCAGTTTCACTCTCAGGTCTAAAGATTTTAGGGAAAAAAAATCTCTTCCAGTAAAATAGTATTTGTGTAGCCGTCCTAACAGGTGAAACCTTTTAGAGATCATAGATGAGTCAGATCAGAAGTATGTTTAAAAAGCATCTTCTGAAAATGTACAGTAAAATTTAATGTTTCAGATCATCAAAGAAATGTGAATGTTAGACAAGAATCATTTTTTTGCTTTTTTTTTTTGCCTGTCCTGTTTGGATCTTTTGCCATCAGAATTATTGTCTAAAGGCAAAGAAAGATTGCCAACGGATTTACTTAACCAAATGGACCCAGTGACGTAAGTTTCATTATCCGATTGTTAGCGTGAGGGTCTGTGCAAACTGATGTGATTCAGTGGTGGCTTCCTATTACACAGACTTGTGTCTGTAAAGGCAGACGGCATGGCTAGTTGCTTCAATTCATACACCTGAATTCAAATATTAACAGGTGTGACCCAATAGACCAGATAGTGTAGCTAGCAAGCTCCAGTAGTTCGCTAAGGAGCGTGCAAAATGATGTTACTTAGAGCTTAATAATCCACACTGCAGGTACAAATCAGTGCTCAAAGAGATATAAGGTTTATGTTGAACAGAAGCCTTCTCTTTCTGAAAAAGTCCAGCAAGTGTAGACATCTAGGTGAGGATCGACTTGCATATCTTGTATACAACTTTGATTTTTTTTTAAACACGATAATGTTAATTAGATAATTAGAAGAGTAATAAATTAATGTCAATCCAAAATTAACATTGGATTAAAGTGTAAAATGGAAACAAAAACAATGGCGTTCTTTGCATATCTCAAAGACCCATATTTTATTCCCAACAGAGCAAAGAAAACATGTACGATTTCATTAAAAAAAAAGAAAAAAAGAATGTGTGGAAAAACTGAGATGTGGCATAAAAAGTAAACAGTATTAAAAAGAAACAGCTGGTTAACTGGCAGCAGGTCAGTAACATGATTGGGTTAAAAAAAAAGAGCATCTTGGAGAGGCAGAGGTTCACCAATCTGCAAAAAAACGTTTCTACAAATTGTGGAACTTCAAAATGATGTTCCTCAATCTAAAACTGTTATCTAAGATTCTGACAGGAAATCTGTGTGTGCAAGGGACAAGGCTTGAATCAAGGCAGGGGCGACACTGAAGCAGACCCACCCAAGAGCCGTAATCCCTCCGTGGGTCTCGGGCAGGGCCGGGTATCGTCACTACAATCGATTCGATTCTGATTCACATGGTCCCAATTCGATCCACAGTTTCAGTTCGATTCGGGGAAATTTTGACTCAGACAGAAATATTATAATTCTGATCCTTTATCAGGAAGGACACTCGTGAGACTTCATCTGAGGTGTGAGCATCACAGCAGATTCTTTTGTGTCAAAGTAACTGAGGATAAAACAGAAAAACATGAAGGAGATTTGCCTGGTCTGGGATTTTACAGCAGAAGACCTTAAAAATATTCTGCAGTAGAACAAAAACGGGAAAAAACAAGAATCAACATCTGAACATTGCCTGATGCTGCTGAAGTGACGCAGAGCAAAGGCACAATGGTTTTATTAGAGACACAGCTGTTTTGCAATTTGGCATTATTTTAAAAAAGTTTACATTTCTTCGGTATCAAACAGCAGACATGAGGCTTTCTTGTTAGGAGGCATAAAATATAAGCAAGCCAATAATGCAGAAATTTAGATTTTTAGATGAGAAACTGTTCTTAGAGTACAGAGAGAGAGATCTGCAGGAAGTGTCATTTTATCGTGGTGGAAACAAAACAGCAAAAGTAAGAGAATTCATGACGATGTTTATCTGAAGCGAAATGTGAAGCTTGGATCTTCTTTTGCTGCTGGCTCAGTCAGTTTTGGTTGGAGATGAAACCTGCAGCAACAGAATCAGCGCAAAAAGGACGTAAACACAAAGCGCGGAGGCGCCGGCGCATCAGGGTCCGTGAGCTGTCGGCTTTCAGCTCCGATGCAGAGTACGTGGGTGAGAAAGCCGACGGCCCACTGATTCAAACGTGTCAGGTCCGCGCGTTGTGTTTACGTCTTTGTGCGGAACCCGTTTACCTGCTCTCATTTACCGTTTTAGCTGTTTGGTGGTTGTTGAAATAGTTTTGTGAGGTTTAACCTGAGTTTCTGGCAGAATACATTTATATTTAAAAATCGATTCAGGATTTTTAATGAATCAATGACGTTTTATTAAAGCTAAGATCGATTTTAATCGATTACTGAAACCCACCCCTAGTCTCAGATCTGCTACAGAGCCTGTTCCCAGTCGGACATCCCTAAAAACCTCACCTGGAAGCGCCCAGGAGATCCTAGTCATTAACTGAGTCCTTTTAATGCGCCGGAGTAGCAGCTTTACTCAGAGCCCTTTGCCCCAGCGCTACAGGAGAGTCCCAACATGCCTCTGGAGGAAGTTTATTTCCGTCACTGGTTTCTGCAAACTCATTCATTCTGTTAGCACCCACGGCTAACCGAACACTTAGCTCTAAGTGAAATTCTTTGTACCTGAAGCCAGTTTAACCAGCCAGGGATCAAACTTCCACCTTTGGTGCCCACCAGGGGCTCTCAAAAGAACCCCTGCCCCAGTGGGCAGGTACCAGATGGGATGCTGGTGTCCATAATGTGGACAAAGTTTCCTGATCCCTTGTTTTCATCATCGTAAAGGACTTCTGAGTCAAGATGATCAATAAAATTGTCTTTAGATGTAAACTGGAGCCAAATTATATGCAAACATTGTCAGAACACACTTGTTCTTGTTTGTTTGTTTACTAAAACCATCTTTCCACCATAAATCACAGAAAATGCAGCCAGTCCAGCAAACAGAGGTTTATTAAAAAGTCCCGGGTGGGTGGGCGGTTCTTAGGGGTAAACATCAGTCGGGAGCTGGAAGTCTTTGAAGGTGTAGAACGATATGTCTCCATAGTCCACCACAGCTATGACCACTGGGATATCTCCGCTCTGATAGGCCAGCAGCTTGATGGCTCGCAGGTCGGGCACGGGGTCATCGAAACTGGGACACAGCACAGAGGTAATCAATTCAAAGGTATCAGTTTATGAGATCACTGCAAAGCGAATAGCAATCAATCAATGACCGAGTGGCCCCAGCTATAGTTTACTAATATATATATATACACACATATACATTTTGCATTGAACCGTGGCTGAAAGACCAACAGCAGAATGATTTGCTGCTGCAGAAGCTTCGAATTTTGAGTGTTACTGCAGAAAAAGTTTGAACCATCACACATCTCCAAACAAAGACGCTCGCCAGAAAAAAAAAGCACAAAAGTAACAAAGCAGGAAAAAACAGCCTGAGGATGTGAAGAGTGAGAATTTCACTGTGGTGTGGAAGAGATTTAATAAACATCTGATTTATAAGTCGTCACAGATTAGGGCTTTCTGCACAATTAGTGGTTTTTTTGTATAATATATATATATAAATAAAATGTATATAAATATTTATATTTTTTTGTCTAAATGCCTAAAACCACAGTTAAGACTTTTAGACACTAAAATAACTCGATTGATGATCCAGCTTGAGAAATTCTGCTGCTTTATCACAGCTCTGAATAATTAAGCAGCTATTAGTGGTTAGAATCACACAAAGCAGGACGAGAGAAAGGCTCCGTTCATGTCCAGCCACCGGGACATTCATTTAATTTGAGTGAAGCGTCTATTGTTTTTCCTTTAAACAAACTAATCCTGAATAAATACGCCGTCGGGCGGCGATGTGATTGCTGACCTGCACACACACATGCGTGAGTACGGTTTCCCCGGGTTGCTCTTCTTGAAGTCGGCCACCGTGTTGGGCTGGTAAACATTGAAACAAATCCTCCAATCGCCCGCATCTTTTAACCTGAGAGGACAAAGCACAAGGTCATCCTGAACGATGCTGACTGCATCAGCACAACGCCCACGGCCTTTATGGTCTGTAAATTAAAGACGGCAAAATGTGACACCAGCGAGACGAGTGAGCGATGACTTTGTTTCTTTCATTTTCTAATCACAGTAAACACACAGAGGCTGCACTCGTCACAGCTTATAATCAAGCCCACATGAAGTCCCAGCTCCAGAAACAGAAAACCAGAAAGCAGACTTGCAGCAGTGGCATAAATTTAGGCGTTTTTCAGAAAAGTTGACCTTGAGGTCTTATCTGAGATTTTCAGTAGGATCTGATGCATCTCTGTAGGGCTGTGCGATATGACCAAAATCTCATATCCCGATATAAGACATCTATCGTCCGATAATGATATAAATCACAAAAATGTAACCTTTTCTGTAAATTCTGTGAATCTCGGGCAGCTCGACTTGCATGAAGTGTTTCCAGCTGCGCGTCATGTTTTTCATCATTTTTAGACATAAGTTGTAACGGCGCCGTTTTCTTTGTGAGTATTTATTACACGGCGTGCTGCGGGGAAAAGCCTGTTCTAAGGTTTGAGTCTAAGGTTTGAGTCTAAGGTTTGAGTCTAAGGTTTCTTTTTTAGCACCTGACGGCTCTTTTTGCTTCTCATCTGTAAATGATCTGCTCTTTCACGTGATTCAGTTTATTTTGAAAAGTCTCAACAGGATCTTGAGCTTTATTGTGAAAGGTTTATGTGGAAATAACGACAACGCATAAAAACAAGCGCTTGTCCGTCTGTAGTGTGGTTATATTAAACATAAGAGAAAGAGAGAACTTTAAGAAATTAATACAGCCACTACAGTGATCAAAACCATGAAAACATATTGCCGTAAACAGTTTATTTTGCGACACCACGAAACAAACGATAGCGTAAAATGCAACGATAGACGTTTTTATATCGTCATCCAATATATATCATTATATCGAGCAGCCCTACATCTCTGGCATTAATTCTAAGATCCCACGTTGCCTTTACTGAGGGGTACAAACGTCCGACTGTGCACTGGATGTGCAGAGTTAAAAATAACACTTCTGCTCATGTGAGTAAAACAAATCGTGGATACCTGGACGCTCCCTCCAGCAAATGAGTCGGTTTAATCACGCCGATTTTTTCCAGCAGTTCTCCTGGAAAAAAAAACCTCAAATCACACAAAACAGTAAAAAACATTTTAAATTAAAATCTCCTTCACGGTCATGTGATCTCACCTGTGGCGATTGGCTGTGTCGGGTCATGTAACGGAGTAACTTCCCTGTTCCACAGGTGCGCTGGTCGACCTTCCCGCTTACCCTTCCGCCTCGCCATCAGCTCCTGATACTCCGCCCAGTTTCTGCACCGCCGTACCTTTAAGGAAGCCCGTATAAATTAAATTTGATCCTCAGCTCCTCCGATACCTTTAGTCTTTACAAACCTCTCTGTTTTTGTTGACATCCCACCGCCGCCTGTATTTCTCCCTCTTCTGCTCATTGGCTGACATCTTCACCTGCCGCAGGTTTATTTTCTGCCTCCAGGGGGCAATGTCACAGAAGCCCACCTTCAAATCCCCGGGCAGCAGAGAGGGGTCTGGAGGGGCCAGGTCACTGGGGAAGTGCTCCCTGGAGGTGGAGCCCAGGTCAGGGAAAGAGATGGAGCTGAAGTCCCAGCACGAGGAGCCAGATTTGGAGCCGTGACCGGAATCTTTGTCCGAGTCCCCGAGAACATCCATCATCCACCAGCTCCTGCCTCCGCCCTCGTCTGCTGAACTCTGGGCCTCCGGAGGCTCTGGAAGTTTTTTATCTTCCTCGCCTTCACTGCATTTATCCTCCTCCATCTTCTCAGTGGAGCATTCCTCCTGAGCTTCAGCACGGCTACGCAGAAGAAAACTCTTATAAGACTTCTTACATTTTTGTTTTAACAGACTGAGGTGAAATGTTAAGCTTAGAAACAAAAAATTAACAGCGACTATAATAGGTCACCTAAATGCACCACGTTCATCACACTGAACTATAAGACAAACATTAGCAGCAACATTTATTTGAAGATTTTGGAGATCTCTCATTTGTGATATTTTGAAACCAAAGGTATTTAAATGTCAGCTCACACCAGCAGAGAGCAGCACAGACTCAGCTTTCATGTGCAGCTGCACGTGGAGGCATCCAGATTTCTTTTTGTAGCTACAGAAAAAACTAATATAGTATATAATAATAATATAATAATAAACAACTCCTCATTTTTATTGTACAAGGCAATAGCTAAATAATAGCTTTTGTAACTAAGATGTAGTTTCACAGATTGCAAAGCAGCTCTTTACCTGCACGTCGCAGTGGGGGTGGAGGAAGGGGCGGGGCTGAGGCTGCGTTTCCTCTTCAGCTGTCTCCCTGCTCGGTCACGTGACTGCGGCAGGTTGAGCTGCCTCGCGTAGGACAATGACTCAGAACTGCGAGCACACAAACATCCACCTACGGAGGCTGTTCCCGCGCATACTTAACTTTTCAAGGCCGATTTTAATAGATACACTAACACTGTCATCTCTGATGCTCAATTATCTTTATTATCTTAAATGTCTGAGGGGTAAATGTTACCTGGGATCAAACCTGAGCACCACATAGCCGAGCCTCTTCAAATGCCCAAACACCTTTGGGATGAAACAGAGTCGTTAGCTCATTTCACAGGTGGCATTTTCACAGGTGTGCTGGAGTAAAGGTTGCACCTGATATTGCTGAAGGCTCACGGTGTTTGCAGACAGAAACTTCTCGTACCCGTCCTGGATGGAGAGTGGCAGGTCCTGATGAAACACCTGCAGGTTTCCCTGTTCCCATAACAACACAGACACAGGACTAATTATGTGCTCCGAGGAGGAAAACCGCACCGAGCAACAGGTTTTATCTGCAGACTCACACACTCCATCAGGTACAGAGCCTCCTCGGGGAGCAGGCACTGCTTCCCGTTTGCAGAAAAGCCCATCGTCTGCCAGAACTTCCCCTGCGGAAAAATAAGAAAAGATCCAGCAAAGGAGCGACTGAGGACGAGCTAACGCAGCAGCTTTTTCTAGGTGGTGTTGTGACAGTGAAGCAACTCACAGCCGGAGATCGAAGCTCCACAATCTGCTTGCTGGGAATCCATTGGCCGTTCACGAGGTTTCCCCTGTGGATTAAAACAGATGGAAGCCATCTCACACAAACACACACACGTGTTTCTGTCCACCTGATGGATTTATAGCCAAGATTTGGGCTCATTTGTGAAAAACCTTTAAGATTTTAAACCCGAAAGACGTTAACGTTCACTCAGCACTGCAAAAGATTAAAAGTCAAATGTATTATTTTGCTGTTACCCAGTTTTTTTTCTTTAGGATTCGTGGTGCTTTGAAGGTTTTCTTGTCTGAAATCATGTTTCTATTTTTCATTTATTTTTCTGGACTTTTAAAAATCTGCTCCCACAAACACAAGAAAAGCTGTTTAATCCATCACTGTGCACATTTATCTACTTTTATTTTGTGCAGTAAAGCTGTAAATAGTGGCTGCTTTCAGCTCCTTTCAATCACAGAAAGGTAGTAACATCGATGGTCATCAATCTAAATGTTATTTTGTCTGAGCTAAGAATGGAGCTTGTGGATGTTGAAACTCAGGTGAATATTAGACACCCTTATATGTCTTATATGCACCACCAAAGCTGGGCCTGATGAGTAACCCCACGGGTAATGAGAGGTACTCACAGCCTCTCCACTCTCTCCTCTGAGAGGAGGCTCCAGTGTTCATTCAGGCTCTGCTCGAGTCGCTGCTTCTGCTCGTCGGAGTCATCGGGGAAGAAGTCCTTCTGTCCTCTGACGGGGATTTTGTGACTGCGGGAGCGGGCTGCGAACAGCTCCGACGGGCTGAAAGTTGTTAAAGAAAGACAACATCGTTCAGCTGTTTGATGCACACACGATCACAGTTACTGCCATTGAAACACTGAGAAGGAAAACCACTGCACTGCTTTTAGATTTCATAACACAGCCTGAAACAAAATGTGCTGGAGGTGTTTGAGGAGGGCTGGCTTTCAAGAGCAAGAATTTTTTCTGTGAAAAAAAGTGTCCTTCTCCATTATGTTGGAGGTTTTCTGCTAGAACACAGTAAACGTGTGAGTAACTGTCAGCTGACAGTCTTTTCTTGTCTCAGTTTGAAAAACAGCTTTAAATAAATGCTCTGCCGGGGAAGAGGAAGGCGGTGTACAGCAAGTGTTTCATATTTTCCTTTTAACAAAATACAATAAAAAAAAAAATTCTTGATCAGCAGAAGAGGAAGAAACTCCTGAAAAATATTCAACACAAGGAGAATCAGACTCTAAACCTCCCACTCTGGAGTCCCTCTTTTATCTTCTTGCTTGTTGTTCAGAGCAATCACTGACTCAGATCTTAGTGTGAGGGTCATGTGAGGTCTGTCACTAAATCTGGATTTTATCACATGAAAAACATAGGCAAACTTTTCTCTCTCAGTAACTCAGAAGATGAGCCGCTGCAATGGTCCTTAAAAGGAGCAACCGGCAGAAGAAGAAGCTGAGGCTCGACTCTTGTAATGCTCCGTTGTCTGGTCTATGCAAAAATGTCTCACATCAACAACAATTGATACAAAACTGCAGTTTTAAAACACTCTGGCTGCAGTTTGTGCACTGACTTTAAAATCCTTTTAGCTGTTTTTAAGGCACTTCTTAGTCTCTGTACATCATATTCGTCTCACATGGTGGCAGGTAACGAATCACTAAAGCCAGGTTTCTCATTGTTTTAGTTTATTTGTGTTTCATATAACTAAAATGATTTTTCTAGCCCATATTCAGTTCATATCTGAGCTTTAGGCAACTGTAAAATCTTTCTAGCAAAGCTGCATCGGTGTGAAAGATTATCATGACAAGAAAGCAGCAGTCCCCAAGTTACTGGCATACTTTCCAGGCGTTGCATGTTGGTGTATAACGTTAGTATCACTATGAAGTCCATCTGCGTGTGATTAAAGTGCCATCATGAGTCATAAAGTCGTGACTCAGTGCCATGGGACCTCGCCCAGACTTGTTTTAAAAGGACTCCACCCTGATGCTTTGTCTGTGTGCAAAAAAACAAAAACAGCAGACTTCCAAAAAATATTTTACTGTTACTTAATTCCTAACTTTCCAAATGCTTTCTTTCTCCCACGGCTGTTTTTCACCAAAACACACAACAGAGGGTGTCAGAGAGTCGAATACAGAGTGTCACTATTTCAGAAAACGTGTCCAGATAATATTTCAGTAACAGTGTTTCTCTGGAAACAACTGTGCAGCTTCATCGGTGCGTTTTAATGAAACTATAGGCGTTTTCTCTTCAGCACGTATTCACGTTTAAGCTAACAGTTAGCTTTAAACTAACCCGTGCTACCATGTGCAGAAGAAGTCTGAGAGTTCCGTCCACAGTGATTCAATGACAAACAGCCGCTGAGGGAGAACACAAGACAAAGTACCGCTACCCTGCGAACAAGCCCGCTCACAGGTACCGTTAAAGGTAAAAACGCACCTTAAAATTTCACTGTAGAACTTCCCTTTACCGTCTGTGTTGTTTTGATCCGCCATGATGCCGGTGTTGTGCCAAAAAGTGATTGTCTGCCAGAAACTGATTGCCGTCCGCGGGAGCGCGCGCAGCTGCTTAAAGCTGCAGCGCCCGTATTACTTGCGTTGCCAGCTACTTCCGTGCAACTGATATAACGTGGGGGGAAAAACCCAAACACATTTATGCCTTTGTTATTAGGCAAAGGTATGCATTTATGGAGCTTTAACGTTTCTTGTAACCGAATTATGACGCTATCAGAAGGTTGCTTTCAGTGTGTAGCGCAGTCACGAATGACTACACGCATCACGATGGAATAATTAATGCCTACAGGTTTAGTATGTCTACTCTCGTTGTTCATATTTGTTATAAGACTGTCGAATAGTAGTTAAAACAATAAAGACCTATTGTGCCAGTATCACCATGACTCTTTCTTGTTTGTGCAGAATAACGACTGAGAACATGGCATTTTAGCGCTACCAAAAAGTGATTGTGGCCTATATCTTGTCACTGAAACAATATTTCTGCTTCAAACTTGCTGCATGTCATTCTGAAGGGTCCTATGTGACACATTATATCCCAAACAGTCCCTTAGAACGGCTGGAAAACCTGTAAAGGAACATTAACTTTGATAATATGCCATTTTCAGCCTGCCAAAAAGTGATTGTGGCCTATATCTTGTTAATGAAATACTATTTCTGCTTCAAACTTGCTGCATGTCATTCTGAAGGGTCCTATGTGACACATTATATCCCAAACAGTCCCTTAGAACTGCTGAATAACCATTAAGGGAACGATAAAACTGATAATATGCAATTTCCAACCTGCCAAAAAGTGATTGCCGCCTATATCTTGTCACTGAAACAATATTTCTGCTTCAAAATTGTTGGATATCCTCCAGAAGGGTTACATGTGATATATTATATCCCAAACAGTCTCCAAGAGCTGCTGAATAACTTTTAAAAGAACATTAATACGATAATATGTCATTTTTGACCTGCCAAAAAGTGATTGTGGACTATAACTTGTCACTGAAACAATATTTCTGCTTCAAACTTGGCGGATGTCATTTAGAAGGGTCATATGTCAAATATTACATCTCAAACAGTCCCTCAGAACTTCTAAATTACCATTAAGGGAACAATAAAACTGACAATATGCCATTTCAGCCTGCCAAAAAGTGATTGTGCCTATACCTTGTCACTGAAACAATGTTTCTGCTTCAAAATTTTGGATATATCCAGAAGGGTTACATGTGACATATTATATCCCAAACACTCTCCAAGAACTGCTGAATAACTTTAAAGGAACATTAACATTGATAATATGCCATTTTCAGCCTGCCAAAAAAGTGATTTCCGCCTATATCTTGTCACTGAAATACTATTTCTGCTTCAAACTTGCTGCATGTCATTCAGATGGGTCATATGTCAAATATTATATCTCAAAGAGTCCCTTAGAACTGCTGAATAACTTGTAAAAGAACAATAACACTGATAATATGCAATATTCAAGCTGCCAAAAAGTGATTGTGGACTATAACTTGTCACTGAAACAATATTTCTGCTTCAAACTTGTTGGATATATCCAGAAGGGTTACATGTGATATATTATATCTCAGCCCCGCAAGACCAAAAAAACCCATTTGTTTGTGAAGCATGCTGGTCAGAGGTCGCTGTCAATTTTCAATGTTTGGAAATGTTTCTTGTTTGTATCGTTGTCTCCTATAATATTTATTGGTTGTTATTTGTTTATAATTCATTAATTTATGTTCATGTTGCTGGTGGTTTCTGTGTTGTTCACAAGTTCAGCTTTGATTGCAATTTTTGTAGGATGATTCAATTATTTGTGTTCCTAACATGTTAGCATAGTTACTGTATGCAAAGAATTAATATATATGTTGTTCCATGGTTTACTGGTGTTGAGCTTCCGCTATACCCCTGTTCTGGTCTATTTGTTAGTTTATTTTAACTGTGTTCTTCTTTAATTGGATGTAATTGTTATTTGTTTTTGGTTTCATTTCAATTAATAAGTGCTGTATTGGAATGACATTTTATTACCGTTTGTTTTGTCTTTCCTATTACTTGGTGTTCCTAATGTGTTTAAGCAGATCTCCTCCACCTGTTCCATTTGGCCATTATCCTTTTTTGTATTATTTTTGAATTACAATATTTTTGAAATTTGACGTTTTATGCACAGGTTGAAAATGACATATTATCGGTATTAATGTTCTTTTAAAAGTTATTCAGCAGCTCTTGGAGACTGTTTGGGATATAATATTCACATGTAACCCTTCTGGAGATATCCAACAATTTGAAGCAGAAATATTGTTTCAGTGACAAGATATAGGTGGCAATCACTTTTTGGCAGGCTGAAAATGGCATATTATCAATGTTAATGTTCCTTTAAAAGTTTTTCAGCAGTTCTTGGAGAGTGTTTGGGATATAATATGTCACATGTAACCCTTCTGGATAATATCCAAAAATTTTGAAGCAGAAACATTGTTTCAGTGACAAGTTATAGTCCACAATCACTTTTTGGCAGGTCGAAAATGGCATATTATCGTATTAATGTTATTTGAAAAGTTATTCAGCAGTTCTTGGAGACTGTTTGGGATATAATATATCACATGTAACCCTTCTGGAGGATATCCAACAATTTTGAAGCAGAAATATTGTTTCAGTGACAAGATATAGGCGGCAATCACTTTTTGGCAGGTTGGAAATTGCATATTATCAGTTTTATCGTTCCCTTAATGGTTATTCAGCAGTTCTAAGGGACTGTTTGGGATATAATGTGTCACATAGGACCCTTCAGAATGACATGCAGCAAGTTTGAAGCAGAAATAGTATTTCATTAACAAGATATAGGCCACAATCACTTTTTGGCAGGCTGAAAATGGCATATTATCAAAGTTAATGTTCCTTTACAGGTTATCCAGCAGTTCTAAGGGACTGTTTGAGATATAATGTGTCACATAGGACCCTTCAGAATGACATGCAGCAAGTTTGAAGCAGAAATATTGTTTCAGTGACAAGATATAGGCCACAATCACTTTTTGGCAGCTTGAAAATGGCATATTATCAGTGTTATTGTTCCTGTACAAGTTATTCAGCAGTTCTTGGAGAGGTTTTGGGATACAATATATCACATGTAACCCTTCTGGAATATATCCAACAAGTTTGAAGCAGAAATATTGTTTCAGTGACAAGTTATAGGCCACAATCACTTTTTGGTAGCGCTAAAATGCCATGTTCTCAGTCGTTATTCTGCACAAACAAGAAAGAGTCATGGTGATACTGGCACAATAGGTCTTTATTGTTTTAACTACTATTCGACAGTCTTATAACAAATATGAACAACGAGAGTAGACATACTAAACCTGTAGGCATTAATTATTCCATCGTGATGCGTGTAGTCATTCGTGACTGCGCTACACACTGAAAGCAACCTTCTGATAGCGTCATAATTCGGTTACAAGAAACGTTAAAGCTCCATAAATGCATACCTTTGCCTAATAACAAAGGCATAAATGTGTTTGGGTTTTTCCCCCCCACGTTATATCAGTTGCACGGAAGTAGCTGGCAACGCAAGTAATCCGGGCGCTGCAGCTTTAAGCAGCTGCGCGCGCTCCCGCGGACGGCAATCAGTTTCTGGCAGACAATCACTTTTTGGCACAACACCGGGTCTGCCTGCTACTGCGGCTCTCCTCTGGGTCCTGGTGACCGTCAAATTCATCACTTATAATCGTGGCCATCAGAGGGCGCCAAAGGGCACAGTTTAAAATCAGGGAAGGGTTTTCCAGAATATTTGATTTGTTCCAGCCAAAACAAACCAAAGGGTCCCACAAGAAGGCAGAAAACTGGATCAGGCAAAAATACAGGGTAGAAAATTAGTGCAGAAAACGTTGGTCATGATTTTCAGGTTCATTCTACTAACAGCATTTAACGATTATCCCCAAAATTGATTCTGTTCATCTGGATGTAGCGTTTTTAGTAAATGACTGTTTTGCAAGTTGAAAGCTTCTTTCTTTTCATGATAAAGGAAGAAGACATAAAATCCTAAGTTTATTTAAAGGGTTAAATGTCTATTTTATAGCCTTCACTGAAATTTCGATGTCATTGTAAATATGAGTCTCAACAATAGTGCATTGTTAAAAAGAAAAAATAAGCTGGTCAGCTCAGCAACTCCAAATAACGCTGCAACGCTGGAATGCTGCAAATCTTTGGACTGATCCAATACCAAGTAAATACAGGGCTGGTGTTCTGACAAACCATCCTACTTTGGCAAAACGTCACATTTCTGCTGTCACAGAGTAATTCCAGCACATATTTAAGTAGGTATGACGGTTTGCCACTAAACTGTGCCCTTCAGAGTATGCTTGTAGCTCATATTCATAAAGCCAGGATGGTTTGCTACTTAATATTACCCGTCAGAGTATGTTTCTAGCTCTTATTAACCAAGGTAGGATGATTTTGCCACTGAATTTTAGTTGTTAAAGTATGCTTCCAAGCAGTGTTGTTCAAGTTACTTGAAAAAAGTAATCAGTAACTAATTACTGGTCATATTCACAAAGGTAGAATTGTTTGGCACTGAATTTTACCAGAGTATTTTTGTAGTTAGGGTTAGATTGAAAATGTGACGTCATTTCCAGCGCAAAACCGCAAAGGATTGTAGGTACGAGTGGCAAGTGGTACGAATTGAATTCATTGTGCTATGCTGCTTTGTTCACTTTGGCTTTGCGGGCTAATAATTGTTGTGTTTTGTAGGAAAACCAGCCTACAAAATGCTGGAATGCGATCCAGACTGTGCACCCTCTACCAACCTGGGTCATACCGAGTTTAAAGCTGCTACCACAGCGAGATTTAATCGGTTAAGAGAGAGAGCGATATTAAAACAGCCACGAAAAGTCACGCATCTGCCACCAAGGAGTTGTTTAACTGCCTCAGTGACCTTGCCCCCAGAAATTAGCGGGTCACCCCCCCCCTCATCCCCAGACTCTGCTTCCTCCTCGGAAGACGTGTCAGTGGGATTAAGGAGGTCCTCAAAGTATTCCTTCGAGGAATACTTACAGCCTGATAGGATTCCTTCTTCAGCCTGGTGGCTCCCTTCACCTCTGGTGTCCACCAGCCCGCCGCCTC